CATTGTGTTCTTTTGCATAATACAAAACTCCTCATTTTTAAAACTCAACTTGAAGAATAGTATCTGACTTTTAAATGTTATACTCCAATTAAATAAAAACCAGTGTTTAAATGAATGCTATATCTACCATGTTTGAAAAATCTGTATTTGAGTGAATTGCTGTCCTCTGTTTCTGGAATCCAAGATGCCAGGGAAAGTTGGGAATCTACACAACATCCCTAATAGGGATGTGAAAGTGTAACCATTCAAATGGTTAACTGATAAGCTAGGTTTCCATTATGGTTACATACTGCATCCCTGGAAGACAGCTTTGCTGTAGACTCCAATATAACTTTTTGTACAGAAGAGTGTTCAGTGAAAACTTCCCAGGAGAAGGCCGACAGAAGCTTCAGTGCATTCTCTGTGATATAAAACGTATATACCCCAGAGCCCTCAGCGTGTGCAACCAGTAGGATTTTTAGAGATTACTCAGTTACATTTCTAAATAACTTCTTATCCCTAATCCCAATGTGCTTGATTTTTGTAAGTAGATAACACACTGTTCAGCTAAATCTGATAACTCATTTACACAGCCAAGAGGGGACTGTCTATCTGAGCTGTGTTTGTTCCAACAAAGGGCCTGGAATAAATTATGCTAAATAAATTGGCTCCAGGTTTGCCTGTTTCAGACACTAGTCTCAGAGTAATCTATCCTACAAGTTTTACAGAAAGTGGTCAGATTTAGTAGATGTCACCTTTTCACGGACATAATGTTACAAGTTCACTGGTTGTGCATCTGGATATCCCTGGCTATTGCAAGATGGCAGAATACCAGCATGTCTGTGCCTTGACTGCTGGCAGCTCTGCTAGTGCATAACCCATGTCAGATTTAATTTCCACAGGGAAGATCTAGCTGCACACAAGCATGGGCGGTTTGTGAACCTTCTGCTTGAGGAGGCAGTTGCTTCCCAGCCCGGAACCTGCCTTCTTTCCACTATCTCCCTTCTCTGTGTTCCTGTCACTGCATGCTTGCCCCGTTCCAGTCAAATCCCTGAACCCAAGCAAATTATTTTTCCAAAAATCCTTTCTCATAAAATGGAGCTTGTTTTGTCCCATGTGCTAGACATGCAGAAGGTACCTAATTAAAAGCACTAAATTTTAGGAATAAGAAATGTCTGTCACCAGTCGATTATATACCCTCCTAGTTGACATTCAGGCAGCTTGCAAATGCCCCAAACCCCTCTCATTGATCCTGAGGAACACAGAATGGCAAGTACCAGTTAAAGCTAATTGAGAAATTGCTTGTCGCTTCTTCACACACTCAAGCAAGGTGTCAGGCCTCACCCTTAGCTAACATTTGCCACCTTACAGGAAGAAAATTACTAGAATCAAGCTACAAAATTTGCCACCTCATTTTCACTTCTTAACACAAACAAGTTGAGGACTTCCTATGTTGAGCAGTAAGCACCTCTGACCATGAATAAGAATAAAAATTCAGGCTGGCTGCTGCTTGAACTGCACCTGTTCAGCTCACAGAACCAAGAAGACAAACTGGCCCACTGAGGCAGCATGATGGTGCCACTTTTATGTATCAGACTGGCAGATTCAATATCCCCAGGGGTAAAAGAATCAAATCCCCAGCCCTGTTCTCATCAAGCAAACACCATCTCCTGACCACTGAAAAGAGTGGAGACCTATCCTACTAATCTTCTTTTCCTTGCCACCATGTCCCTCTTCCTCTTCCCCCTCTTTCTTACCTCCACATCCCTCTGTCCCCAGGCTCCCAGAACTCAAGATCACTACCCTCCCCAAACAAGTGCTTCCATCTGCCCTGACGGTCACAAAATTTGAACTAATTTAAAAAAAAACCACCACCACCTACCACAAGTTGTTCCTGCCTGGGCCACTGCTTACCTGTGGGGAAAACTCTGAAGGGCTCCTCTGGCCCAGGTAGAGGAGGGGGGAAAAGGGTCCATTCTTCCTGGCTATTTATTTTGAAGACAGGCCAGCACAGGGTACCTGCTGCCACAAATGATCCAGCCCTCCCTATAGGCACAGGTAGACTGGTCAGCCTAATGCTATATTTGCCTAGCCCTTGGAAAAGTGGTGATGTGGGAGGCCTGGTGGGAGTATGGTTGCTAGGTGTCCGGTTTTCTACCAGACGGTCTGGAATTTGCGCCCTCTGTCCGGTAGAACAATTCAGAAAATACTGGGCATGTGCAATGTCCGGTATATTCTGAATTTCTGGCTGGATGCCGGACGGAAGCCTGGCGGGGGTGGGGGAGCGATTGGCGCTGGGAGCCCTGTGGTCGCATGCAAAAGCTGGGCAGGGCGGGGGCAATGGCTGGGCCTCCCCCCGCCCGGCTTCTGCAAAAAACCAGAGGCTCCTAGTGCTAATTGTGGCCCTGCCTCCCAGCTGGGAACCTCTGGTTGCATGCAGAAGCTGGGTGGGGGGAGTGGCTCCCCCCCA